CCGAGGAAGTAGACGCTGACGAAGACTTGTCATCGAAACGATAGTTACTTATAATGAAAGTCAGAGTATCTCTGATTTGTGTGAATAAATCCATGGTTTGGTTCATAATGACAGTGAGTCCACGGATGAAGTGATTGTTGTATTCATGCAAAGAGTGTCCGAAAGAGTCGATAGAGAGAGACATTCACTCATTGAGTCATTCATTGAGTCTATGAAACACTTTTTGCAACTATTTTCGCACTTTTCATACAAAATACAGTACTTTTTCGACGTCTGCATACCTGTCCACCAATTTAATCCACAGGATGTTAAAGCACTTCCAACCAGTTTTACCCAAGAGTTGAATATTACATTTATAAAATGCCTCAGGGTTAATTATCAATTTTTGTTTATTAGAAAAAATTCAGTTCTTTGCTATTTTACTCAATCTTTTATTTTAAAGTCATTTTAATATTTGGTATTAAATTAATTACATTTAAATATCTCTTATCTAATAAACCAAACGTTAAATCATATAAAATATTTAACTTTGNAAATGCCTCAGGGTTAATTATCAATTTTTGTTTATTAGAAAAAATTCAGTTCTTTGCTATTTTACTCAATCTTTTATTTTAAAGTCATTTTAATATTTGGTATTAAATTAATTACATTTAAATATCTCTTATCTAATAAACCAAACGTTAAATCATATAAAATATTTAACTTTGTTTTTGCGAAGCAATTTCAGTCGACTGAATGACTACTAACTGTAGATATAGTAATCAAATGGATATATTGATGGCAGAAGTGGTCAGTCGAGTGACGGCCGCGTAATCTAAGGCATAGAAACCGTGATTATCGGGGATATCCCGTTCCGCCCCCAACTCAAGCAAGAGGTCGACGCAGGGCTTGTCGTCGTGGTCTCGGGCCGACGCGTAGTGCAAAGAAGTCCAGCCATTGATATCGCGTCCGTTGATATCAAACTGGTGTTTGAAATTCTTGAGCAAATAGTCGACACAGTCGGAGGTGTGGGCGTTGGCCGCATAGTGGAGGAGCGAGCGATTGAAGGCATCGATAAGAGTTTCGGGTAAAGGCATCAAGAGTTGCAAACATTCAGTACTACCGGAATAGGCGGCCAAGAAGTGAGCGGTTCGGCCACAGGTATCACATATTTGTTTGTTTGCGTTCGCGTCTAACAAACGCTTTGAGGCACTGGAGAAGCCCGCGAATGACGAGTAGTGCAGAGGACTCATACCATTCGTGTCGATCAGATTCACATCCGCTTTGGCTATCGTAATGAGTGCGTCGATCACAGGCGCGCTCCCGGAGAGGGACGCGTAATGAAGAGGTGTCGCCAAACACTTGTCCGCAATACTACAGTCAGCCCCGCATCGGATCAGATCAGCGATTCTGTTGTGTCGCCCATATTTGGCAGCAAAATGCAGAGCAGTTCTGCCGTATTTGTCGCGTGAATTCACATCAATTAAGTCCTTATGTGTGAGTAATACGTCTAAAGCACTGGTGCCTAATGAAGAACCGGCCGCCAAATGCAGAGGTGTTATGCCGTTGTGGTTCACACAACCGATATCAGCGCCCCTTAGGATCAGCTCATCGAGGATGTCGTCCTGTCCGTGAAGGGCAGCCCAATGGACGGCAGTATTTCCTAAGGCATCGATTGCATCAATTTTGGCTCCGAAGTCGCACAACAAATGCAAGGCATTGAGCGACCCTTTGGCCGCCGCCATATGCAGAGGTGTCATCATATCCTTGTCGTGAACGTCAACCTCCGCGCCTCCCGTGTCTACCAGAAAGCGAATGGCGTCTGTGTTATCAACAGCGGCCGCGTAATGGATGGGTCTTCGGTCACAGTTGTCGAAGTGATTGGCCTGAGCTCTGTTTGACAGCAAGAATGTCGTCAAATCCAAGTGCGAGTTGAAGACGGCGTGGTGTAGAGGAGAGGCGCCCACTCTGTCGCGAGAGACACACAAAACCAGTTCATACCATACATACAGTAGTGTCTCAACAATGGATGGCAAACCTGTCGGAGGCGTCGATGGAGTTGATGTGGGGTAAGAGGACTCGCGCGCACTCGAGACCATTGTTGGCGGCGCACACGTGTAAGGGAGTGATCCACTGGCGGTCGCGGGTGTTGGCGTCGGCGCCGTTGGCCAA